TGATCTGTTGCAATGTTGCTGCTGATCTATTTCATGTTGATGTGTTCATGCGTGCTCATCTGCTCACACAGACTCATGTTCATGCTGCTGTTCGACGTAATGTTTTTATGCCGTTATTGCTTAGTGTATTTTAGTTGATGTTTTTCTTAGTTCATATCTTTGATGTTGTCATTGTTTTTCTTTTACATTTTATTGTTGGATGTAACTGGGACCCTGTGTACATAATTTCGTTCCACCACATGTACTACGTGTGGTGCGAATGACAATAAAGAATCTCTGACTCTGATATTCTTCCATTAGGTAATGTTAACACCATGGAATAAATTTTCATTGTTATGCTGATGATACAGTTACATTTGTCCATGAAACCCAATGAATCCAATCAACTACTTAGACTACAAGCATGTCTTAAAGACATAAAAGCCTGGATGACACTAAATGTGCTGCTTTTGAACACAGACAAGATTGAGGTTTTAGTTTTTGGACCTGAACATTTTAAGAATATTTTTTCAGTCTTTCTCCCTCCTTAGATGGCATTAATCTGGCCTCCAGCTCTAATGTTAAAAATCTTGGTGTTATTTTTGATCAGGACATGTCTTTTCTCCTCCACATTAAAAACATTACTGGAACTGCCTTCTTCCACCTGCGTAATATCACTAAAATTAGAAACATCTTATCTAAAAATGATGCAGAAAAACTGGTTCATGCATTTGTCACTTCTAGACTGGACTATTGCAATGGTTTATTATCTGGATGTCCAAATACTTCTTTAAAACGTCTTCAGTTGATCCAAAATGCTGCTGCCAGAGTCTTAACTGGAGTTAGTAGGAGAGATCATATTTCTCCAGGTTTAGCTTCTTTCCATTGGCTCCCTGTCAAATCCAGAATAGAATTCAAAATCTTATTTCTAACCTACCAAGCTCTCAACAACCTAGCTCCATCTTATATCCATCCATCCATTATCTTTTACCCGCTTCTTCCATTTTGGGTCACGGGGGTCGCCGGTGCCCATGTCTGGCATTCACTGTGCGAGGGGCGGGGTACACCCAGGACGGGTCGCAAGTCCATCACAGGGACACATAGAGACAAACGAGACAAACAACCATTCACTCTCTCACTCACACCTAGGGACTATTTAGAGTTACCAATTAGTCTAACATTTATGTTCTTGGTCTGTGGGAGGAAACTGGAGTACCTGGAGGAAACCCACACATGCACGGAGAGAACATGCAAACGCCACCCAGAAAGACCCCCGGACCGGGATTTGAACCAGGGACCTGCTCGCTGAGAGGCAACAGCTCTACCAGTTGTGCCACCGTGCTGCCCTGCTCCATCTTATAGTCAAGATCTAATTGTTCCATATTTTCCTAACAGAGCACATCGCTCTCAGACTGCAGGCTTACTCGCGGTCCCTAGAATTTCCAAAAGCAGAATGGGAGGAAGATCTTTCAGTTATCAGGCTCCTCTCTTGTGGAACCAACTTCCAGTTTCTGTCCATGAGGCGACACATTGTCCAGTTTGAAGACTGGGCTGAAGACTTTCCTTTTTGAGAAATCCTGCATTTAGGTTTGGCTTGTCATGCTGCCTTAAGCTTAGACTACTAGAGAACAAACTGACCTAATTTTCTTAAATTAATTGTTAAAATTAAATAGTTTTCATTTGATATTATTTCTATCTTAACATGTGATTCTTGACCTGCCATTGTGTATCTGTTCCTACCAAACCCAACCAGTCGAAGCAGATGACCACTTGTCCTGAGCCTGGTTCTGCTAAAAGGTTTCTTCCTCATGAAAGAGTTTTTCCTTTCCACTGTCGCCCTCATGCTTGCTCAAGATGAGAGTTCAACAATGGAGTTAAACTGAAAGCAGTCTGCTCTTCAGATAAATAATTTTAATTATTATTTTTATATATGAATGTTTCTGTTCAGTGCCCTGAGATGACTTCTGTTGTGACTTGGCGCCATATAAATTAACTGAATTGAACTGATTTGTCTTGACTTGCTGTGTTGTGCTGCCAATCAGATGTCAGGGTCTGTTGACAAGCTTCATTAGCCCCGCCCACATCACATCACTGAGTTCTTCCTGTCTATATTCCTGTGTAGATGTGAATTGTTGAGTTTTCTTTTTCTTCCTTTAATAAAATGTTGTTCTTTATCTTCTAAATGGTTGAACAAGGTTCAAGCAGCCTCTCTGTGTTCAAACCATGACAGAGAGGGACTCGTACCAGTGACTCGTCTCTGTCCTGAATCTTATCTCGTCATCTGTGCGCAGCGGCAGTATCGTAGCCTGTGAGGTTGATCTGAGGTATGATTATTGCTAGTTGAAAACTTTACCCAATACCCCGTCTTGATGACTGTAAACACAGTCAGCAATGGCAATTTTTGACAGTCTTAACAAAGACTGAACAATTTGTTGAAAGAAACAAGCACCGTTCAACTAGTGGTCAATTCTTCTGTTCCAGACAACTAATAGTTAATTGTAGTGATGAGTAAATGAAGCTTTTATTAAGCATTGAACCAATTGGGCCAATTGTTTCAAAAACATCCTGATGCATGCTCAAAAATCCAGGTAGAAAAATAAAAAAAAGTTCAATCTGGTCCTCTGAACATTCAAAAAAACAAAAAACAAAACAAAGCAAAAAAATATAGAAACGTTTCTTCTCTCATCCAAGACACTTCCTCAGTCTGAGGTGCTGTATTCAGCTCAGTCTCTTAAATAGCACCTTCTCAGAGTGGATCAACCAGTTTGCTGCTGACAACCAAAACCAGCTGCTCACATGGTCAAGAAGGACCATCAGCCTAACAATGGATCATTAGCACACTGATGGCTGTTTACTATTCACAGGGGGTTGAGTGATACTAGCAATCACAGCATTGTAAGAGGGGGACAGTTGAACCCGGAGGCCCCCACCCCTGTTTAATGATGGACGATTTCTTTTCACAAATATGGCCTCCTTTACTCCTGTGCCGACTGGCACAAATAGAGTAATATTGTGTATGCTGTTCAGTGTCAGGAGGGTGATCAGTCTTACATCAGGGAAACTAAACAGCCACTGGCCAAAAGGATGGCCCAGCACAGAAGATCAACATCATCAGGCCAGGACTCTGCGGTTTACACTCATCTCCAGGCCAGCGGTCACTCTTTCAGGGATGAAGATGTTCACATCCTGGACAGAGAGGAATGATGGTTTGAGAGAGGAGTAAAGTAGGCCATCTTTGTGAAAAGAAACCGTCCATCATTAAACAGGGGTGGAGGCCTCCAGGTTCAACTGTCCCCCTCTTACAATGCTGTGATTGCTAGTATCACTCAGCCCTCTGTGAACAGTAAACAGCCATCAGTGTTCTAATGATCCATTGTTAGGCTGATGGTCTTTCTTGACCACGTGAGCAGCTGGTTTTGGTTGTCAGCAGCAAAACTGGTTGATCTACTCTGAGAAGGTGCTATTTAAGAGACTGAGCTGAACACAGCACCTCAGACTGAGGAAGTCTTTCGAATGAGAGACGAAATGTTTTGCTTTGTTTTTTTCTTTTTTTCTGAATGTCTAGAGGACCAGATTGAACTTTTTTGGATGTTTCAAAAATAGGAACATTTGTTGAAGCTTCAGTTACAGTGACCTCTTGTGGCAATTTGCAATGCTGCTATCAAATAAGGTGTTATGCTTTTAGTGGCACACACTGAAGAACTTCAGTGACTAGTGTTAAAGAAACTACTTTACTGTGGTAAAAAAAACAGATTTTTTTAATTCATCAGCTTTCTATGTTGTCTGGTTTGAAAATTTATTTATGCTTACATATTTTTGAATAAAGATTGATAATTGTGCATTGAAGAGATTTAATAAAAATGTTTCAATGGTATTGTGCTTGTGTAACTGTGGCAAATTCCAAGTCTTTTTAATTCTTAAAAATAACAATGAAATGACGTCTCCATCATCTCCATGTTTGGAGCTGAAGTGTCTAATCATAGAGGAGGTATCATGATGCTTCAGTTGGACACACCAAACGTCTGCAGAAGATTAATTTACTTCCTGGTAGATTTTTTTTTTGGTCCTCTACTTTTGGAGAAATTAAGTGGAAACAAGTTTGGTTGAATGAAGAAAAATGTTGCAGAACAAATAAAGTTAAAGAGGTTTCATATAAAATCAATCATAATGTATACCCTGTTAAAAAACACTGGAAAGATTTAAATATGATATTGACTACTCTTGTACATTTTGTGAACTACACATGGAAACAATGTCTCATTTATTCTATCAATGTAATCACACAAAGACATTCTGGACAGATGTACAACAACTCATACAACTGAAACTGGACAAATAATTCAACTTACAGAGAAATACATTAAATTATGCTTCGACAATAAAGATATGGGCAGCACGGTGGCGCAACTGGTAGAGCTGCTGCCTCTCAGCGAGCAGGTCCCTGGTTCAAACCCCGGTCCAGGGGCCCTCTGGGTGGAGTTTGCATGTTCTCTCCGTGCAAGAGTGGGTTTTTTCTCCGGGTACTCCGGTTTCCTCCCACAGACCAAAAACATGCATGTTAGGCTGATTGGTAACTCTAAATTGTCCCTAGGTGTGAGTGAGAGAGTGAATGGTTGTTTGTCTCGTTTGTCTCTATGTGGCCCTGTGATGGACTTGCGACCTGTCCAGGGTGTCCCCCGCCCCTCGCACAGTGATTGCTGGACATGGGCACCAGCGACCCCCGTGACCCAAAATGGAATAAACGGGTAAAGATAATGGATGGATGGATGTTAAAGGACTGGAAAACAAAAAGCCAATGAAAACTAACTCAGTTCTAGAAAAACTTCATGTGAATTTATCTGTATAACATTTAAATATATTGTGTTGTATCTTTAGAATTTTGTACCATTTTATAACCAAATTGTTCTTTCTATACTTTTGTACCTGCTAATATACCCCTGGCAGACAGTTTGTAAAATTGATAAAGTTTTGTAATAAAATAATTTAAAAAAAGAAAAAAAGTTGAACACACCAAACACTGCACCTGCAGAAATACACTAATGTAAATTAAAAAATTTATTTGAGCCCATACTGATATATGATTATTAAAATCACATACATCATTTTACTGTAATTATTAAATACGTGGGTTAAATGGGTTAGATAATATCTTCACTGTTGAACATTACTATAACTTTTTTGACATTTAAATGCCAAAACCACCTTATGAGCAGAATGAAGTGTTCCCACATGTTAGAACAACCTCTTTTCCTGGCTGCCTCCATAATTAATTCAAACTAACAGCAGAAACACACCTACTCTCCAACACACTGCAAACATTTTAGAGCTGTTTCATAATGTTGAGCTCTCAATTCAAAACTGTCTCAACCTGTCACCTGTCAGAATCGAGACGAGGCGGTGCCAGAGAATCAGCTTTTGGGACCATGAACCAGTCGAGAGATTCATTCCGACAATGAAACAGTTTGTGTTTCGGACGTCACATGTCACGTGACTTTTTCTGCACCAAAACAGGGTCCGAAGCAGTGGTTCGATGTAATTTTACTGCAGGGTTCGAAGCATGTTTTGAAGCTTTTGTTTCATACTATCATCACTAACAAGCACCGTTCAGCTAGTGGTCAGTTCTTCTGTTCCAGACAACCAATAGTTAATTGTAGATACACATTTTGTTCTGACAGAAGTCTCATACTCTGTTAAACTCAGTTCATGCACAAGCTAAATTTCATCTGTTTGTTTTTAAATAGAAAACACCATGATACAGTGGATTTGGTCTTTTGGATGTTAGATGTGATATATTGGTCTTGGAAGAGAGGCGGATTCTGAAGATCTGATTTCAAAGAGCTGTTCAGTTTTTATGTTAGTGACGTCTTCAGTGGTATGTCCAGATGTAGGTGTTGATGAACAACTTCAGGACTGTACTCCTAGACCCGTTGAGCATGCAGCTGCTCCTTCCATTCCTGAGCTCATGCTCTCCTATATTTTACCTTCATCTCAGTAGATAAAAGGAGGAGTGTGTGCACCTGAGGAGGAAGTAATCAGAACAGACCCAGTGAAGCAAAAATAACAAAACTAGTGATGAATGAAAAACTACAAATAAAATGGTGTTGAGCTCTACTTGGAATCTTCCCTGTTTGACTTGAAGAAGTTCTCTCTCTGGATACTCCTGAGTCTCTGAGTAACAAGTGTGGATCTTTGAGTAAACAAATTGTTGGATAAAATGTAAATGTTATAATTTAAAACTGTTTTTAGACCCCGCATCATTTAATTAAACTCCAGTCGTGTGAACTAGAGAATAGCCATTTGTCTTGTTCTAAAGTGTTCACGTGCAGTCAGACCAAGACTTTGGGTTTTTAAACAACCATGATGTTATTCAGATCTGACCTCGCTATTCCGGCTATCCGGCTATCCGGTTTTATAATCAAGCTGTCTGTTTAGTAATCTTTTCTGGCTCCGCTG